CGCACGCCGCTGACTGACATGCTGTAGAAGGCGTGCAGCCAGCCGCAAAGGCGTCTGCAGGCATGCTCGTGTGTGGGAAGGCATCCAGCGGCAGCCTCCGCTGCCAAGCCGGGGAGCCCTATCACCGCAATCTCAGCTGTCTGCTCGCCTGTGGGTGGCGCTGGGTCCCGCGCAGGCTGCAAGCTGCCCTCGAGCGGCACGTGCCGAACACTGGGTTCGGCATGCCGCGGGGGGCGGCTGTCGCCGCCGGGCCGCGCCTCTACCAGGCGCTTCTCCACCCATCGCAGGAGCACGAGGAGAGCTGCTGCCGAGAACAGGCCCAGAAACAGGCCGACGGCCGCTGCCACTGCTAGCGCCTCTGAGAGAGTGAAGGAGACGACTGTGTCGAGCATTCTGTGCAATAACTGTGCAATAACTGTGCCCTGCTACAGACTGTGCAATAACTGTGCAATAACCCCATTCTAATGCCCATCACCTCCACTTCTTGCTTTTGCGCCACAGGCACGTACCAGACCCCTGGATTCCAATGGTGGTATTGCAAACAGGCGGCTCCTTTCTCCGGCGGGGCAGCCACCCACCAGGCTACTTGGTTTCGGTTCCTCGCCCAACCCACTCGGATGTACAGCGGGTGCGGGGCAGGAGCTCTAGCTGCCTGCTGCTCACCCTCGTTGCTGAGCAGGCATTGCCGCGAGTGGAGGAGAATGCATCGGTGGCTGCAGAAAAAGTGCCCGTGCATGTGCCTACCTGCCAGTTTCGCATATATGTAGTTGTGCCTAATGCGTCTACTGCCGCATTGGCCGAGAATGGGTTGCAGGACCCCCTGCTCAGCATGCGTGCGTTCAAGTCTTACGTCCTGCCGACGTTGTCGTACGGGGCAGAGATCTGGGCGCCGCAGCTGATTCTGCAGGGCATGACGGCATGCGAGCGGGTACAGCTGGAGTACCTGCGAGGGCTGCTGGGTGTGCGGGACAGCACCCCAGCCCTCACTTTGCTGGCAGAGACGGGGCAGCTGCCGCTGCCCGCCTACTGGACCTTGCAGGTTGCACGCTTTGTGAGCAACCTGCAGGCTATGGGCGGCGAGCGGGTCGCCCGTCTTGCCTTGCTGGATAGCGTTGCGCTGGCTGCCGACACGGACACAGGGCTGCCACTGGCCCGGCAGCCCTGGGCAGCGCAGGTTAGCCGCGTTCTCGCGGCGGCCGGCGCCCCCTGCGACTTGACTGCTGACGAGGGGGTTGCCATACCTGAATTGGCGGAAGCGCTCCTGGAGCGCCATGTTGCCTCGTACACGCATGCATCCGTGAAGGTGCAGCGGTACATTGAGGACGTGTGGGGGGGCAGCATCTCTGCGGAGGCCTACACGCCTGCGTCGTTCCTGTGCGATGTGCCCGAGCGCCGGCGCCGGGTGCGCCTGGCGCAGTGGCGCACGGGGTCGCACTGGATGGCTGAGGAGACAGGCCGGTGGCAGCGGCTGGACCGCACCCAGCGCCCATGCCCCCACTGCCAGGCCCCTCTAGAGGACGTACGCCACGCAGTGTATGACGCTGGGCTGAGGGAGGAGTATGCTGAGCTCTTCCACAGTCCCGGCCACGCCTTGCCCTCCCTGGCCGCCTTCCTCGGCCAGGCCAGGCAGGGCCGGCTGGCCCGGTTTGCCATCCGGTGCCATGAGGAGCATGCTGCTGCCCTGGCACAGTGACTCCCCCGGTTCCCTTGAGTAGGGCCCAGGCATCTTTTGCCCGGCCTTGGCTCCCGACCCACCCCCTCCCCCCGCAGGTAAGAGCAGCGTCAGCGTCAGCAAGCAACGGTCAGCGGCAGCCCCACCACCCCCACCTCCACCTCACACACTCACTGGCCCCTTGCGCGATGGCACGCCGGCATGTTGGCATGGGAACGCCAAGCCCGGCACGGTAGCGGCGGCTGACTGAGTAATGGCACAGCCGATCGCCGCGGCAGGCCACTTTGCACTCCTGCCTGCAATGCATGCACCCTTACATGTGCAGCCTTCTGGTATTTTCATATGCCTGGGAGATGTGCGGGCATGGGGGCCCATGTGCCCCATGCCATTTGAGTGCCCGGCGGCGGCGCTGCCTGCCGCCGGGAGCCCGCACCAGCATCGGCACCCGTCGGCCTGGCAGGCCTAAGCTGCTAAGGATCCCCACGTCCCCCACCACGTTGTGGGGGTTGCGTGTCCGGCAGGACGGGGAGCGGGGCCAGGGTGGGGTGACCCTGGGACGCTCAGCTGGGGGGAGGGTGGTCGGAGCCATGGAGAGGGTGCTCCATGGTCCACCCCCTCTCTTGATGCCCCTTGATCACGTGTGCCCCCTGCCCAAGCTCTGCTCACGCGGCCTATCATAGCGGGGTGACTGTAACACCTGGAGTACGGCGTCGGCAGGACCGCGAGGCGCTGGCGCAGCTGCGCACCGGGTCGCATTGGGGCGCGGAAGAGACCGGCCGCTGGACGCGGCGCCCCCGAGAGCAGCGAGTCTGCCCCCACTGCCACGACGGCATTGAAGATGCCCCCCACATAAAGGTAAAGGTGGGGAAGAGCCTCCACAAGCTTCACTTCCCGGTTTTAACGTCTAGCTTTAGACCATTATTTGATCTGCCCGACGCGCCAAGTGCAGTACCCCCCACTAGTAGTGAATGGGTCCCGGGGAGGCCTGTGCCGAAGCCTTGGCGATTCTATTAGGCGTTCCCGAAGGAATTGGCTTGGATTGGCGCTGAGCCGGTCAGCTATGCCGCGTTTGTCCTCACAAAGTTTCGACATGGGAGGAATCGAACCTGTGCCCTCTCGGAGGGTTTAGACACTAGCTCCAGCGCCTTCAAAGAAGGCCTTTCTTAGCCGCGGCCTAAAACATGCTGCTCACCTGCCCCCTTTACGCCCCGCTGCGCCTCAACTTTCCTGACCTGTTTGCTGAGCCCCATCCTCCCCACCGCTTCCTCCGCCAGAAACCGTGCCGCCTCGCCGCCTTTGCTGCCGCCTGTCACCAGCGCTGGCTGACCGCCACCGTTGCGCTGCCTGCAGTCCCGCCCTGAACCCCCACTCTCATGTCCACCCCCTTTGCTCTTACCGCACCACACCTGCTCCACGACATGCAGTACTGCCTGCCCGCTCACACACTAAACGCTCGGTGACCTGTCAGTTGGCCTGTCCTGCCTGTTGTTCTACTGCTTCATCCCTCCTTGCTCGAACAACAAAGTCTGTGCTGCAAGCTTGTTCTTGCTGAAACCAGACTGTAAGCCCACACAAGCAAGCTGGGTGGTTGCCCATGGAGCTGATCCCCAAGCTTACGGCGGCGGCGTTCCCTTGGGGCCAATCGGCGAAATATGCAATGGGCAGGCTGCTGGTCTCTGGAAGCTCTGAAGAAGCCACTCCTGGGGCACCCCTCGAGAGCTCAGGCACATCGCAAATCGGGGTTTGGGCTGCTTTCACGAGCATGTTGGTCTGGTCAAACCGTTTGTGAGGGGTTGCATGCGGGGAAGCTCCGATGAAGCGTTGCACCAGGCGCCAGCAGACCCCCCGCCACCGCCACTGCCACCTTCTGCTGCAGCGCTGCGAGGCGCGCCCAAACATAATATAGGACAGCCCGGTCGACGTCACTGATCATGGTGGCACCCGTCCATTCTTTGTTGTCATCACCGCATTACATCCAGACGTAAGTGCACTTCAGTCAGCCAAGGCAGCGCGTGGCGAACAGATGGGCAGGCAGGCAGTCACGCAGGCACAGCTGTGCCCAGGCAGGCGCAGGGACACACCAATCGCGTTGCCACTCGGCCTTCACACCCGGCACCCCCTCACAAAACTACGTTGATCTGAAAGGCGTCCAGCAGGTTCTGGGCCTGCCTGCGGACCAGCACCTGCAGCGCGACACATGGGCGGTACAACGTCGGCAGTACAGCATGGGCGGCACGGACAGGCGGCGTCCAAGTGCTGCTGCGGGGGATGCGGCTGCGGCGGGGGCGCCGCGGCCTCCTGCAACGTGCCAGCCTGGCTGCAGCCGCCACCGCACAGCACGCATGCACAGCTGCCGGCCTCCGTGCCCTCCTCCCTCCCACATGCCTGGCCGGCCGCCGACTGGCCGTGCGCCAGCGCCGTCAGCACGGGCTGCACCCGAGACTTAAGAATGAACTCCTGCCAGAGCGGGTGGGGAGGTGGGAGGGTGGGGGTGGAGAGGGTGAGTAGGTTAGGGCTGAGCGTGCACGCCCCCACGTGGGGGCGAGGGACAAGGTTAATGTAAAGGTGGGGAGAGCCTCCACAAAGGCTTAACTTCCCGGTTTAAACAAATTTAAATGTCTAGCCAGCCACGCCAGAGCCTCCCCCCATCCACCTCGCCCCCCCACCCACCACCAAACGGCCGCAGCTGCGGCGAGGCAGCGGACAGGCGGTGGGCTCGCCTTGGGGCGGGGGTGCGGCTCGTACATGGCTCGCAGCATGTCCAGCAGGCACAGCGCTGACGTGGCGCCACCTGGACGCACATGCGCAAGCACACGTGGCGGGGCAGCCCGGCGCCAAGTGACGCCCTTGCATCGCATCCCGGTGAAAAGCAAAGGACGCAGCGCGGCGCGGGCGGGGGAGGGCGTGGCCTGGCGGGCGGGGCGAAGGGAGGGTGGGCCGCCCGGCGGCGCTGTGCCTTGCGCCGACAGCCCCACTGTACAGCCCAGGCGCAGGCCCTGCGTGTGACACAGAGCAGCACGCCCCCCCTCCTCACCCGGACTCAGCGCCGAGGCGGCCCCCGCCTGCCCCGCCGCCACCGGCCGCTTCAGCAGCTCCACGACGCGCGGGGTGAGGCCGCCCTGCGGGCGGTACCGGCAGGTTGGGGTGGGGTGGCAGGCGGGCTTTCTTCAGGGGCAGACCCAGGTGTTTGTAGGGATGGCACCGGTGCGATGAAGACAGAAGGGAGGCGAGGCTGTGTGGCGAGGGTGGCGGGCAAGCAAGGACGCGGCATGGGCGCTGAAAGGAGCTGGAAAGAAAGTAAGATGGAAAACTCGGTGCCAGCGGGCCGCCCCTCCTGTGACGCAGCGCCCTGTACCACTAGTACAGGTGACAGTACCACCCACCTGCGCCAGCGCCACCGCCAGCCGCGGCGAGCGCTGCAGCAGGCGCAGCAGGGAGGCCAGCAGCGACTGCAGCGCCTCGTCGCCGCCGCCTGCGGCCAGTGCAGGCAGGCATGGGTGTGTGCGCCCGCGCGTGTGTGTGGGGGGAGATTGGCAGGCAGGAAGGCAGGCCAGCTAGGAGGCGGAGGGAGAAAGCGTGCGGGGCTGCCTGCAGCGCGGAACATGCTCAGGGCGCGGCACAGCGCCCAGCTGGCGCCCCCACCTGGCGAGCTGGCGGCGCCAGCTGGCAGCAACGTGACCAGCCGCGCCAGCGCCTCCTCCTCCAGAAGACGCGCCTCCACACGAGGCGGCTCCTGCGGGCGTGGCGTGGCGGTGCACAGGGGCGGCGGTGACAGGAGGCGAGAGGCGGGGCAGGAGGCTGGCAGGCAGGGAGGCGAGGAGGCGCCTCCTACGGTTGGCGGGTTGCTGGCGGCTTGCCTACAGCACCCCCCCGCCGAACAATGCAGTCGGCACTGCACAGCATGCACAGCACAACATGAACAGCGCACCATACACTGCACAGCATGCACAGCAGCGCCGCACGCACAGCGCAACACAGCGTGCACAACACAGCGCAGTCCCCCACCTGCTCCAGCCAGGCCGCCAGCGCATCCAGCACAGCCACCTGGTGGGCCTGAGGGAGAGGGAGGCGGGGAAGTGGGTGAGTGAGTGGGTGAGCGAGTGAGTGAGGGCTGAGGGAAGCGGGGGAGGCAGGGAGGCCGCAGGAGCGGGCGCTGCGGCGGCAGCGGGGGTCGGGGGTGGTGGCATGCTGGCGCCGGCATGCTGGCGTTGGCAGCTTGGCCAGGGCAGAGCACGGAATGGCTCGGCACAGCCCAACCGCAGCACAGCGCAGCACGCAGCGCCGGCCGCCCCACACACTGGCCGCCCGCCCGCCCCGCTCGCCTCCTCCCGCAGCAGCGCCAGCAGCGCGTCTAGCCCTCCCGCCGCCCACAGCTCCTCCCTGCTGCGAGTGCCGCCGTGGGCTGCGGCAGGAGGAAAGGAGGAACGGAGGTGGTGTGTGAGAGGATGAGGAGTATGGAGGGTCAGTGCGGCCGCGGCGGGCTGGGGCGGTGCCGGGCAGCGGCGGCAGGCGGCGAAGCCGTCTGGCGGGCGGCAGTGATTGGAGCGGGAGGCAGGGCAGGCAGCGCAGCGTGGGCCGCCGGCAGCTAGGCAGCCAGGGCACCAACCCCTTGAACAAGCGAAGCACACCCAAGGAACACACATACAAAATCCAGCCAGGCTCCAGCACCCACCAAAGCCGCACAGCAGCGACACCGCCAGGTGGCGGCTCGCCGCCGCCGCCGCCGCCTCTGCTGCCGCGCCGCCCGCCTCCTCCCCTGCCGCCGCCGCCGCCGCCTCAGTGGCCGCCGCCAGCGAGTGCGCCACCTGCCCCGCCTGCTGCTGCTGCTGCTGCTGCTGCTGCTGCTGCTGCAGTTGGGGCTGTGCCTGCTGCTGGGGAGGAGGAGCGAGCGCGAGGGCGACCAGCGGCGGCACGCCGCCGTGCGC